GGAAGGCGGGGAGAAGGCGAAAGGGAAGGTGGGGAGAAGGCGAAACGGGGAAAAACAGGGAAGAAAGGGAGATGAGAGGAAGGTGGTAGGAAGGTCAGGGAAAGGCTACACACCCTCGCTTGCTCGCTCCTCGCTCCTCGTTTGCTCGCTCCTCGGTCCTCGTTGGCTCGCTCCTCGCTCTATCCCTCATTGGCTCGCTCCTCACTTGCTTTCTGGCTCGCTCCTCACTTGCTTTCTGGCTCCCTCCTCGCTTGCTCGCTCTATCTCGCTCGCCCTCTCTCTGATTATCTCCCTCGGTCACTCTCTCTCCTTCTCGCTCGCTCGCTCGCTCGCTTACTCTCCCTCCTCGCTCGCTCCCTCCTCGCTCCCTCCTCGCTCGAGACAGCTAGCTCACTCTCCCTCCTCGCTCGCCAGCTCACTCTCTCCCTCCTCACTTGTTTCCTCGCTCGGTCCCTCCTCGCTCGTTTCCTCGCTCGGTCCCTCCTCGTGCTCGCTCTCTCCTTCCTCGCTCGCTCGCTCTCTCCTTGCTCGTTCGCTCGCTCCTCGCTCGCTTCCTCCTAGCTCGCTCGCTCCTCGCTCGCTTCCTCCTCGCTCTCACTCGCACGCTATGGTCTTACTCGCTCCCTCGTYGCTCGCTTCCTCGCTCCCTCGTTGCTCGCTCCTTGCTCGCTTGCTCTCTTTCCCGCTCGCTCTCACTCGCGCGCTTACTCTCGCTCTCGCTCGCTCGCTTTCACTCGCACGCTTACTCTCGCTCTCGATCGCTTCCTCGCTCGCTCGCTCCTTGCTCGCTTGCTGTCTTCGCCGCTTGCTGGACCCCCGCTTGCTGTCTTTCCCACTTGCTGGACTCCGAACCCTTCCTCGCTCGCTCGCTCCTTGCTCGCTTGGTTGGCCGGCCGTTGAATCGCTTACGAAAAAAAACACTTTGGCTCTTTTTCCCGCTCGCTCGGCCTCGAGGCCATAGGGTCTCTCGGTCGGTCGGTCCACTTAGTCAGCCCGGCCATTGGTCGGTCCGTCCGCCCGTTGGGTCCACCCGTCGGTCGGTCGGTCGGGCCTCACCACTCGTTGGGTCCAGTGGCACCCGTCGGTCGGTCGGGCCTCACCACTCGTTGGGTCCAGTGGCACCCGTCGGTCGGTCGGCCCGGCCATTGGTCGGTCCATCCGCCCTGCCAGGTGGACTCCGGCCAGGATAACTCCGGGTTGAATTGTGAGGTCCCCGGCCTCGTCCCAATGTTTTTTTTTTTTTTTTTTTTTTCCCTTCCCTTTTTTTTTTTATTATTAAAAACCCCACTACATCATATATTTCCACAACCAACGAGTCCATGAGGACCTCACAATTCAACCCGGAGTTATCCTGGCAGCATTAGCCGGCCCGATGGACCAATCACAGAAAACACACTCCATCACCTGCTCTGGACCCCAGCGTCCCAATGTTTTGCAATAAATGGTTAATACTTTCCAAAAAAAAAAACAAAAAAAAAAAAAACAGAGAAGTGGTTGTCTAATGTATGAGCTGTAGGTAGTAACACTCAGTCCCTGATAGGGCCGCTGTGGGCCGGTAGGAGTGTGTCAGTTGGTAGGGACTTAGCAGGAACTGGTTACTCGGCCCCTGCTAGGGCCGCTGTGGGCCATTAGGAGAGTGTCAGTAGGACCAGGACGTCAGTCCTCTGGGCTGAGTTAGTCCCAGATTAGTTCTGAGAAGGTCTCTCACTAAGTTATTATACCATTGGATATGAGAAGTCTCACTGTAGTATTGTAATCTGAGGTCATAGGGCATGTGTTGCAGTAGTAACAGTTATCAAGTTGCTTGAAGTTCAGGCTCAGACTCAGTTACTGGGTTGGTCGCTTTGAAAGGCATAGTTCATTTGTTATACTCTGCATTTGCAAGAGCATCCGCAGGTCTCCTACCTGTAAGCTCAGTTGGCTGAGGTTGTCAGATACCCCCGGGTTGAAGTGTGAGGTCCCCGGCCTCTGTTTCGTATTGTTAATGAATTGTGGATTCATTAAAAAAAAAAAAAAAAAAAA